AGACTATAGTTTACCCGTATCAATACTTTGGACCACGACACTCTAGATCACCCGTATCAATACTGTGGACTATGACACTATAGTTTACCCGTATCAATCCTTTGACCACGACACTAAAGTTTACCCGTATCAATACTGTGGACCACGACACTATAGTTTACCCGGATCAATACTGTGGACTATGACACTATAGTTTACCCGTATCAATACTTTGGACCACGACACTCTAGGTTACCCGTATCAATACTTTGGACCACGACACTATAGTTGACCCGTATCAATACTTTGGACCACGACACTCTAGATTACCCGGATCAATACTATGGACTATGACACTATAGTTTACCCGGATCAATACTTTGGACCACGACATTATAGTTTACCCGGATCAATACTGTGGACTATGACACTATAGTGTATTCGGATCAATACTGTGGACTTTGGCACTATAGTTTACCCGGATCAGTACTTTGGACCACGACACTATAGTTTACCCGTATCAATACTTTGGACCATGACACTATAGTTTACCCGTATCAATACTGTGGACCACGACCCTATAGTTTACCCGGATCAATACTTTGGACCACGACACTCTAGATTCCCCGTATCAATACTTTGGACCACGACACTAAAGTTAACCCGTATCAATACTGTGGACCACGACACTATAGTTTACCCGGATCAATACTTTGGACCACGACACTATAATTAACTCGTATCAATACTGTAGAACATTACTATTAGTGTTTAAGATACTTCATTGCATGGCCCTGCAACATCTGAAAGATATAGTGCAACCGTTTATCTATTAAGGACGACTAGATTTTTCAACACTCCAATATGTAGAACAGTAAGTTATGATGGTAGCTATTTTTCAAGTACATTTAGACTCATTCGCTCTCAATTTTGATTTATCCAATGTAAACTCTCTATCACAATTTAAAGCTCTACTCTTGAAAAAATAATGAAACTGTCTCTGCTACAACAAAAACGTTTGCAAATGATGGCAGTCGAAATATAAATATAAGTATGTGCCAACTTAGAATGAAGCCAGCAATTTGAACTCTGACCTTTTTCTTGACCGTTTAAAAGATTCTCCAATATGCACATGCAACCTTGGTGAGGAAACCGCGGAACATTATATGTTTATCTGTCCTTTATCCACCATTCCCGATTGACACTTAGAAATCAGCTGATTAACCAAAATATAACCCATGACCATTTTAATATAAACACATTACTTCATGGATGTCATGAGTGTGATGAAGAAACCAATGCACAAAAGATTTGTTTAATGATAACTATACATGGTACGGTGGGGACATGGAGACACACTATATGAATCGTTTATGTTTGTTTGATGATTTCAATGATGAGCCGTATCAATAATGTTGACCACGACACTATAGTTAACCGTTTCAATACTGTCGACCACGACACTATAGTTTACCCGTATCAATAATGTTGACCACGACACAATAGTTTACCCTGATCAATACTCCAGAACAAGACAGTATTGTTTACGCTGCATACAACAACATTTTTGTGCATTTGTTTGGGTTTTTTTGTACATGTATCATAGAGAAATTTATTCATTTAAAACGATTTCATATGAAAAATCTTCTGTTGCTTATGCCATGTTTTTACAAGAACTTGATGCAATTATGGCAGGAATCGTGATGTATTGACATTTTTTAAAAAGTCATTATGAACCTGATTGCGATGTTTGAGACAGATGAAGTCAATGGTTGATGGTCTAATTAAGCCCAGATCTCGCACATCATACTGACGACACTGGGGTTTCTTAGCAACAATGATTGCGTTCTAAGCCGTCGTGTTTTGTCTGTTGAGGGTTTCTTAAATGCTATTCACATGAACACAGAAGTAATGACCAGTGATTATATTCTCAATGATGTCAAGCGGCAACCGATGCTGGCTAAGAGTCCACACGAAAAATTATTTTACTCTTTACAACTCAAACTGATAAAGCTAGGGTAAACTCCGAACGAAAATCAAAAAGACTTTTTTTTAAGACTTGTAGCACTGAGGATCGTTCTACAATGATAATGTGAGTCATGGTTTATCTCATGCTACAGTAAGATTTCTCGCCTTCCAGGTTTACGAACCAGTAAATTTCAGTAACTGGAGTTCGGAAGGTGAAGGTTTGAGTCTGAGACAATAAAATATACTCAGTCAAGCCTCGTTCATTCCTCAAGCTTTCTATCAAACCAATCGTAAACGCGACTTGTTACTCGTTTTGTAATTACAAGATAAAAACAATCATTCAATCGAGGGTCCCGCAGAGTTGAGATACCATCCTGGAAATTCGGAACTGACCTCTGCGTTCTCATCTGAGGTATTGAAGAGATTTAACTTTTTCTACTGTATAATACGGATACATCGTTGAGTTCCGCTACCGCAGGACTATGGTTAGTGTTTATACAAGACAGATTATGTTTGGCAATGATATGACTATAATCTGTACCTGTGGCTGTAATGATTAATTTGATTATGTAGGGAGGCACTTTCACTTTTTCACAACTACTCGACTGATGCATAAGTAAGCTAATATTGGGAGGTAACGTCTTTAAACAATGACAATTGGGGGACCGAAACACAGGTTTATCTGAGGAGGAAACATAACTATAAACTGCTGACTTTCTGATAAATTTGTAATAAAACTGGAGCATTAACATAAATGACTAAAGAAAGAACATTGATCAAAGTTGCAACAATAAACTACATAAAATGTTGTTAGGGCCTATACATATATATCCTCAAACACTCTAAACAATAAACTACATAAAATGTTGTTAGGGCCTATACATATATATCCTCAAACACTCTAAACAATAAACTACATAAAATGTTGTTAGGGCCTATACATATATATCCTCAAACACTCTAAACAATAAACTACATAAAATGTTGTTAGGGCCTATACATATATATCCTCAAACACTCTAAACAATAAACTACATAAAATGTTGTTAGGGCCTATACATATATATCCTCAAACACTCTAAACAATAAACTACATAAAATGTTGTTAGGGCCTATACATATATATCCTCAAACACTCTAAACAATAAACTACATAAAATGTTGTTAGGGCCTATACATATATATCCTCAAACACTCTAAACAATAAACTACATAAAATGTTGTTAGGGCCTATACATATATATCCTCAAACACTCTAAACAATAAACTACATAAAATGTTGTTAGGGCCTATACATATATATCCTCAAACACTCTAAACAATAAACTACATAAAATGTTGTTAGGGCCTATACATATATATCCTCAAACACTCTAAACAATAAACTACATAAAATGTTGTTAGGGCCTATACATATATATCCTCAAACACTCTAAACAATAAACTACATAAAATGTTGTTAGGGCCTATACATATATATCCTCAAACACTCTAAACAATAAACTACATAAAATGTTGTTAGGGCCTATACATATATATCCTCAAACACTCTAAACAATAAACTACATAAAATGTTGTTAGGGCCTATACATATATATCCTCAAACACTCTAAACAATAAACTACATAAAATGTTGTTAGGGCCTATACATATATATCCTCAAACACTCTAAACAATAAACTACATAAAATGTTGTTAGGGCCTATACATATATATCCTCAAACACTCTAAACAATAAACTACATAAAATGTTGTTAGGGCCTATACATATATATCCTCAAACACTCTAAACAATAAACTACATAAAATGTTGTTAGGGCCTATACATATATATCCTCAAACACTCTAAACAATAAACTACATAAAATGTTGTTAGGGCCTATACATATATATCCTCAAACACTCTAAACAATAAACTACATAAAATGTTGTTAGGGCCTATACATATATATCCTCAAACACTCTAAACAATAAACTACATAAAATGTTGTTAGGGCCTATACATATATATCCTCAAACACTCTAAACAATAAACTACATAAAATGTTGTTAGGGCCTATACATATATATCCTCAAACACTCTAAACAATAAACTACATAAAATGTTGTTAGGGCCTATACATATATATCCTCAAACACTCTAAACAATAAACTACATAAAATGTTGTTAGGGCCTATACATATATATCCTCAAACACTCTAAACAATAAACTACATAAAATGTTGTTAGGGCCTATACATATATATCCTCAAACACTCTAAACAATAAACTACATAAAATGTTGTTAGGGCCTATACATATATATCCTCAAACACTCTAAACAATAAACTACATAAAATGTTGTTAGGGCCTATACATATATATCCTCAAACACTCTAAACAATAAACTACATAAAATGTTGTTAGGGCCTATACATATATATCCTCAAACACTCTAAACAATAAACTACATAAAATGTTGTTAGGGCCTATACATATATATCCTCAAACACTCTAAACAATAAACTACATAAAATGTTGTTAGGGCCTATACATATATATCCTCAAACACTCTAAACAATAAACTACATAAAATGTTGTTAGGGCCTATACATATATATCCTCAAACACTCTAAACAATAAACTACATAAAATGTTGTTAGGGCCTATACATATATATCCTCAAACACTCTAAACAATAAACTACATAAAATGTTGTTAGGGCCTATACATATATATCCTCAAACACTCTAAACAATAAACTACATAAAATGTTGTTAGGGCCTATACATATATATCCTCAAACACTCTAAACAATAAACTACATAAAATGTTGTTAGGGCCTATACATATATATCCTCAAACACTCTAAACAATAAACTACATAAAATGTTGTTAGGGCCTATACATATATATCCTCAAACACTCTAAACAATAAACTACCCAAAATGTTGTTAGGGCCTATACATATATATCCTCAAAGACTCTATCAAAAGGACTAAACTAATAATTCCAGTTGGTACTGGAAACTTTGCCTGGTTTTTATGATGTTATAAGTAAATACATCACTTACCTAGTTCGCGACGACACAAATATCTAACTCAATTTCTGGATAATCCTGGGTATTCTTGACCACTGTCCAAGCTTTAACCAACGCACAACTGGAATATTGAATGAGGATGATGTATAATTTGAATTAAATGATCGGCTCGTTGTCCCTGGTGTCAATGCCTGAGATACCTGGTCTCTGCGGGCTGACTGAGACAATCAGCGGTAGTGATATAATTAGTTCTATGTGGGGTGGACGCGCAGGTATTAAATAATGCGTGTTGCTAGGCAAAATCAAATATTCATTAGATAAACAGACTTTTTTCCAGATGCATCAGCTAGTATGTGTTAAGATATAGGGACGCCTGTATGTTACACACGACATACACCTGGTATTGTCGCATGTATTAGTGCTCAATCAACATAAAGATACAAATAGGGTTCCGAGTTTTTATCACATACTCATCCGTTATATGGGTTATCTTGTATGTGCGATACTGTTAGCTGTACATAGACCACCTCCCAAGCTGACCCATATCTAGCAGACATTCGTCATATTCGCCCGCACGTTCCATATCTGCACGACACGAGCAATGTCCGTTGTTGCTAATAATTTTAATGTTTTACTCCAATGTTTAACGTGTAAGATATGCTAACAATGTTATGAAATGATCATCTGCATAATGTACTTAGCCGACTAGATTAGGAAAACCGGACACGCGCTCTTTATTATATGGTAACAGTTATGATATTAATGGATATGCAAACTATATATTGGGTAGATAAACGATAAGATTGAAATTAATACATAGAGATCGTTGGTGTTGGAAAAAGGGAGAGGGGCTGGAATAAGAGAGGAGGTCGAGAGGAGAGAAAGATGGGAATAGTCAAAGTAAAATGTAGGTATCCTGGTTATTCAATATGACTGTTGGGTATTATATGTTCAACAGTTTGGAACAAGAAATGAACAATTGTACAGACCTACAAATTTGAATGTTTAGATTGTAGTCAAGGTTTGCATCTCCGAAGAGAAGGTGTTCAACAGTGATTTCGTTATACCAGTCGCGGGATTGAAGCATTATGTTACGGGATTGATCTTTATTTTTTACAGTTTACTAAGAAATGGGAAGAGTCTTTTGAGTCATTTCCGCAGTCGCAAGTAGAGTTGTCTCGAAGGTGAGCTTTATAAAGGTCGTAATTTAAAGAGCTACTGCGGTTTCGTAATTGACAATATATTAACTTTTCTAGACCAATATTCAAGCATTTAATATAAGAAGGGACAGTGTCTTGAGGTTGAATAAGAGTTTTGAATTGTTTTATAGATTCTGATGACTTTTTTCTATTGGTAGATTATTCCAGGAGTCTGAAGTTCTTGGTATGAAGGATGATTTTGTGACTTGCAGTCTATAGTGTGGGTTTTGAAAGTTATTCCTGTTTCTAAGATTATAGTTAAAGAAGTTTGACACAATGGGTGGAAAAAGAGATTTTAGAAATGGGGAAGCATTATCATAATAAATATTATAAAACATGGATAATTTTCTGTTCCTGCGTCTATCTGTCAATGATTTCCATCCGAGCTCTCTGTAAAAAAAATGTTTGTAAAAATAGGTAATCCATTGATTATTCGACCTGCTTCATACTGCATGTTCTCTAATTTATTCGAAAATGTTATATTACAATTGTCCCATACTTCGCAGGCATATTCAAATAGTGTTCTTATAAAAACAAGGTATATTTTTTCTAATTTTATTAGCTCACCTGCAAAATTCTTCTTCTCCAGTTCTAGAAATGCTAGAATCAAATACTACTCATAGTTGTAAAGGCCTTTGGGTGGTTTTAAAAATTTGTGATTTTCATGTCTCCTAGCCCGCCCGTTTGTTCCTGGGGAGGGGGTGAAGTCTAGTATAGTTTATATAGGAAATAAACATAATAGGCCATATCTACCATTGTTTTGAACGGAAGTTGTTCCTATTTGACAGAAATACTTGTTAGGGGGAGGGGGTCTGCAGGTAAAAAATGTATGACCCTGACCCCCTAGGGGGCTAAGTTAGGGGCCAGAAATAAGGGGGGGGGTAGGGAAATTTCAACCTTTGGTGAAATAAATGGTTAATGAACTTTAACCATTTATTTCACCAAAGGTTTAGTTGTTCCATGTCATACATTGTAGTTTATTACTTGTTTTATATCCTTTAAATTTTTAGAATAGTGTGCTACATGTAATGCGGTGTCGTCAGCAAAACGTCTAGTGATTGATAATAGCGTATTTGAAATAGCGTTATACTAGGACAAGAAGTGGCCCTAAAACTGAACCTTGAGGAACTCCGGCTTTGATAGATACTTCAGAAGATAAAGCATTTGTTTAGTACGACTGACTGGCGTCTGTTACTTAAGTAGTTTTATCCAATCTAAAAGTTTACCTTTTATCCCGTATTTTTCTAATTTAATTATTAGACCTTTATGCCATACTCGGTCGAAAGCTTTAGAAAAAGTCACAAAAAACAAGAGCAGTAAGTATGCTATGATAGAGTGTGATGAGTTAGTGAGTTGTAGAGTGATTTGGTAAGAAGCCAGACTGTAAAGTATAGAGAAGTTTATTGCTGGGGAAATAGTTGTAGATGTGCTTATGAATTATTCGTTCGAAAAGTTTGCCAATGCAGCTAAGTAAATAAATGGGTCTGTAGTTATTTGCCGATTTTTTGAAAATAGGTGTCACATGGGCAAGTTTCCATGGATCAGGAAATACAGAAGTACGAAAGTATTAGTTGAATAGAAGTGTAAGGGGTGAAGATATTTAATTGGATATTATTTTTAACCTTTTATGACTTATGCCGTCAGAACCAGCAGCTTTATTGGTGTCTAAAATGTTGATTAAATTTACCTTCACGACATCGGCCAACCTCGGCAACTGACAGTCTACCAGAATGAAATTTACCTAAAAGACTACGGCCAACCTCGGCGATTGACAGTCTACGAAAATAGACTACGGCCAACATCGGCGACTGACAGTCTACCAGAATAAAAACTACATACAAGACTACGGCCAACCTCGGTGACTGACAGTCTACCAGAATAAAATTTACCTTCACGACTTCGGCCAACCTCGGCGACTGACAGTCTACCAAAATAGACTACGGCCAACATCGGCGACTGACAGTCTACCAGAATGAAAACTACCTACAAGACTACGGCCAACCTCGGCGACTGACAGTTTACCAGAATAAAATATACCTACAAGACTACGGCCAATCTCGGCGACTGACAGTTTACCAGAATCAAATTTACCTTCACGACTTCGGCCAACCTCGGCGATTGACAGTCTACCAGAATCAAATTTACCTTCACGACTTCGGCCAACCTCGGCGGTTGACAGTCTACCAGAATAGACTACGGCCAAACTCGGCGACTGACAGTTTACCAGAATAAAATTTACCCACATGACTACGGCCAACATCGGCGACTGACAGTCTACCAGAATAAAAGCTACCTACAAGACTACGGCCAACTTCGACGTCTTCAAGTATCCCATTTAAACCATGTTTGTAAAAGTTCTAGTTGTAAGACCATGGCCAACTTTGGGGACCGACAGTCTGATGGCAAAGTCAACCATCTTGTTACGTAAACAAAACATTAGAAATAAGAAGCACCAATTAAAAAAAAAATGTTTGTAGAAGCAGGAAACCAAACTATTTTTACAGCACCGGATGATCAATTCGGTTTAGAGTTCTTCAGAGGTATTTTTTTTTAAATATGAACAATCAAAGTGTTCCCAAACCAGAGAAAATGGAAAGAAGCATTTTAAACCATTTTTAACGTTACATTTTGCTACAACAGATAATTTATTCCTAAAGTATTACTTAATCTTAAACCCTGACAAAATAAACTGCAGCTACAAGGACAGGCCCAGCTACAAGGATAGGGCCAGCTACAAGGATAGGCCCGACTACAAGGATAGGGCCAGCTACAAGGATAGGGCCAGCTACAAGATAGACCAAGCTACAAGGATAAGGCCAGCTACAAGATAGGCCCAGCTACAAGGATAGGGCCAGCTACAAGGATAGGGCTAGCTACAAGATAGGCCAAGCTACAAGGAAAGGGCCAGCTACAAGATAGGCCAAGCTACAAGGATAGGGCCAGCTACAAGGATAGGGCCAGCTACAAGGATAGGCCCAGCTACAAGGATAGGCCCAGCTACAAGGATAGGGCCAGCTACAAGATAGGCCAAGCTACAAGGATAAGGCCAGCTAGAAGGATAGGGCCAGCTACAAGATAGGTCCAGCTACAAGGATAAGGCCAGCTACAAGGATAAGGCCAGCTACAAGATAGGCCCAGCAACAAGGATAAGGCCAGGTACAAGGATAGGGCCAGCTACAAGATAGGCCAAGCTACAAGGATATGGCCAGCTACAAGGATAAGGCCAGCTACAAGATAGGCCAAGCTAAAAGGATATGGCCAGCTACAAGGATAGGGCCAGCTACAAGATAGGCCCAGCTACAAGGATATGGCCAGCTACAAGGATAAGGCCAGCTACAAGATAGGCCAAGCTACAAGGATAAGGCCAGCTACAAGGATAGGGCCAGCTACAAGATAGGCC